GATTTCACAAGAACATATAGTTACTATTTTCATCAACAATATATAATTACAGCTTGATAGACATACCCAATTTCATATTTATTTCTCGAATATCAATTAATTATCGATAAAGAGAATATTTATATAATTAGATAGAGAATTAGATAGAGAAATATATATAATTTAATCGTATATATATATATATCCTAACTTCTATAAATATTTTCATATTTTTAGATGTATTTCTAAATTTTATAATATTTTTGAAGTAATCAAATCTTCAAATCATATTAGTTTTTTAAATAAGACTAATGATAAAATTATCGCTGAACTATTGCGCAAGTACCTGGTTCATATTATTGAAGCTTAGCTACATACAAAGAATGACCTTCTTTACACTCACGAAATAATTCATTTCTCGAGCTTAAGGTTGAACAACGTTGTTATAAGCCCGTTGTTAAGAGCCTTTGACTTCCACCACGTACATATATAATCGGAATAATCATTAATCAAAAGCATTAATGCTTTTACAGGTAAGCAAAATGATGTTTATAAAAATAATAGGAAAGATCAAGCTTTAAACGATCAAGCTGAATATTTAATGTTTAAATCATTTGGTGTGAATTTATATACATACCTATTCCTGCAAAAATTAAGTTGAATTTAATTTTTAATTTGTAGTCAAGTTAAAATAGAATTTTTCTGTAAAAAAACTCCAGAAGAGCTGAATTTTTTAGGAGAGCTTTATTTTGGCACAACAAATTACAACACAAAAATTCCTATCGATACGTTGTACAGAAAAGTTATTATATTAAAAACAATCTTAACAGAACGAAATCATGGTGACAACATCCACATAAAAAATATGGGAGATCCAAATTCAAATCCCATCCAAGATAATATTTTTCGCAATAAAATTATTTACAGAGTTTAAGATGCTTATCAGCATTAAATTATATTAAAATTTTTCTAAGATGATTTGAGTATCAATATTAAATTGCTGGTCAATTTAATTTGTGATATCACTACTTCAGTTCTGTTAGAATTGAGTTTCAAGACTGAAAAAATTAAATTCGGTCAATTTGTAAGATTGGATATGTAATAAATTCACACTGAATTATTAAAGATCCAGTTTGAGCATTTAGTCTTTATTTCCTGTTGTTATGTATTCACATTACAGTTTAAAAAGATGTTTTGTTTAATATTTGTTTTACAGTGAAGTTTATTTGCCTCATTTTTCAGAATAATTATAAAACAAGATAAAATAAAATATATGAAAAAAAAGTAAATAAGGATAAAATAAAGAGATGAATTGGACAAAGCAAATTGGATGAATGCATAATTTCTTCATATGCGCGTATCTTTTACGGAAAATAAATTAAAATACAATAGAATATAGATACAATAGAAGTATTAAAAAAGAATAAACTATATATATAAAATATTCTTCCTTTCTTGTTTGTAAATAAACATTCATAAGTTTTATCGTGCAAATTCTCTTATTATATTTTAGCTTCGATTGTAAAAACTCACATCCAATAATCCGTTTTCGAATGTCGTCAGGTCGAGTGTTAATCTGCATTGTTGATCCATTACTGTTGCTCATGGTCGCCATAGGTATATCGATAGGATTAACACGTGATTCGAACCTCGCCACCTAAATAAACAAAGTAAAAAATATATCTCATTAGTTTTTACGTTATTAATATATTTTATATCAGGTTCAATGTATAACACATTTTGTTATTGATTTATTTCAATATATGTAAGTACAATACTTGTACTTACTTCTTTAATTTTATATTGATCTTTTACTTTATATATATTATATGGTTAGAGAGAAAAAATTTACAATTATTATAAATATTGTTTAAGAAATTTCTTGTCTAAGACCTTTAGTTGTATGTATCAGAGGAGGATTACAAAAGCATTGCAGAAATTAAGTACATTACAAGATTGCATACATATATGTATGCTACAATGCAGAATACAGAAATATTAAAATGTCCACTTAAAATATCAAAAGAATTAGAATGCAACACCATAATTTTGAAATTTATTTTATACAGTATTCCGCGAGACTTCTCCAACCACTTATAGGAAGATGGGATCGAAATAAACATAAAAGTTCTTTACCGTTTAGTAATATTTGTAATAATAATTGAGATATTAATGTTAGCAATTGTACTAATGAGAGCGCGCCGATAGAAACGCTCGAAGTATACATATAGTACGGAGAGGTAAAAGAGGAAGTACGTCGTTGCTTAGCTATACTTCGAGTGACCAGAGCGTTTCTATCGACGCGCTTTCATTAGTACAATTGCAAACCTTAATATCTCAATTATTATGAATATCACTAAATAGTAAAGGACTTTTATTTCGATCCCATTTATCTTCCTGTGGGTGATTGGAGAAGTCTCGCGGGACATCCTATATAAGTAATGATGCATTGCAGTTATTAAAAATAATTACATAACAGAAAAAAAGATTGTTAGTCATTTCACCAAAATTTGAATAGATATCATGATAAATTATGTATTTTTCTTTAAGTACATAATTATTTTCTTACTTTTATCGTTATTTATACCATATAATGAAAATATGCGAAACGATTTGACAGTCTATTTCATAATATTACATTCTAATGGGCTATAGTTAATGTATTAAAAATTTTCTGTTATTTTTGAACAAATATGCACAGAAATTCTTTTCTATTACAAATCAATTAAATACCACTGTATTTATAATATTATTACATTATAAGTATTATAATAATTTTACAAGCAAGCGTTACAATATTAAACTGTGATCTCACGAGGAAAATTTCAATACTGCTACATTCCATTCTGACAGTAACGCAACATATATTTACAACCTTACAATGAAATACCTCCGCAGGTTCTGCACAATTTTCGAATTATCGCAACACGATATATTTTCACCCACGTAATTAAAAATGTTTCCTACATTATCGCTGAATCCTATGATGGAATTTCACAACTTCGTGTATCTATCGTTCGATTCTGGTTACTCGATATGCGCATTACCGCGTTCGACATAAACAAGATACATACGTGAGGTATAAGAGTGATTGATGCATATGAGTGTAATCGTGCCTATTATGCCACTACGGATGCGATGCCATGTGACGCGACAATTAAATCACGCATCGATTCAAACACATCCGAAACTTGACATTCTTATTTCGTGTCATCTCTGAAGCTATCCCAAATTCTACAGCAAAAAGCTATGCAAATTCGCGAATTCGCTCTTTTTATCTATTTTTGACAATCCCTCGCTAGGATTCCAAAAAAATGAAATTTTTTCAACGTCAAACAATAAATCGATTTGATGAATATAATTGGATAACAAATTTGATTCGGAAAGAGAGAATGATTTTTTTTCACCTTGTCTCACTGTGCCGACGTAACGTTGACAGGAGTAGAGTAAGCAGGACAAGAGTGAAGTCGTCGTTGCGACGTCGCGGCACATTATAGAACGGTCCGGGCAGCGGGCGCCGCCCCGATCTACGTGAGTAGTGCATGTCACTTCGGTGCGCCTCGCGGTTACAATCTACCATTATACACATAGTTATACCCTACATTCGTTCGCTTGCATTTTGCTGTGTGTGTGCGTGCGTGCGTGCGTGCGTGCGTGCGTGCGTGCGTGTGTGTGTGTGTGTGTGTGTGTGTGTGTGTGTGTGTGTGTGTGTGTGTGTGTGTGTTCATTTCATTTATCTACGAACTATTAACGATTATGTCGCGAAGCTCATCCGTGGCTAAAGATGTAAAAATACCGTCAAATTCAATTTTACAATTATTTACGGTAAAATTGTAATAAAATGGTAATTTATTGGTAATTTTAGCTATATTTATTGTCTTTATAGTGTTATGTATTGTACAAATAGGCTGTATTTCCCTACTTATGTATAAAATAAAACAACATTAATATTCTAATATTCTAATATTCCTAATAAGAATCGGTGATTGAATAACAAAGCTATTGACGAAATCAAATCATATAATTTAATCATATAATTTAATCGTAACAAAACGTGTCTGTATAAGATAATAGACTGCTTAAGTGTGTGACTACTTATCGCGCCAGATTACCGACTGTTGATCGTGATGTCGTAAACGGATGTATATCAATTGTTATATCATTAATTAGTCTATATCATTGATTAGTCTATATATATGTCTACATCATTAATTAGTTAATTAAAAATAATACAATCTCATTGATGAAGCAGTGGCAAATTACTAGGAATAGGCCGATGTGTGCAATTGAACTGTGTGCAATTGCGCCACTCCCGTCGTAAATCGTCTCTGATTTGTCATCCCTACCTTAAACGTTATCGGTTGTTGGGTGTCTAATTATTACATCAATATATATAGTATCAACACGAAAATTTTAGTTAACAAAGCGTTTTCCTTGATGAAAATAAAAATCGGAGTAAATCGGATGTAATAGGAGAGAAACAAAAGCGTAAACGAAATGCCTTTTAGAAGGCGAAAATTGAAATATCAAAATGTGAAAGAAGCGTAAATGCTTCTTTTACATTTCATTGTTCCAATTTTTGCTTTCTAGAAATTTCGTTCACGCTTCTGTTACTCTTTCATTATATCCGATTTATATTTTCATAAGAGTTAATGACAAAATGCTCTTATATCAAATTACTTTATTTTTTTACTTTATTAATTTTTTTACTTTATTAATTTTTTAAATTACTATTTTACCAGCTTTAAAAAATTACCGAGTAATTTATCGTAATTTATCGGATAAGTTATTATCAAATTGGATCATTTTCATCTCTATCCGTGGCAGATTGGGAAAATTTCATTCATTCACACGGCAATATTCTGCGCATACTTTTCCTTCGTTTTAAAATTATACAATTATCGAATGCAATTCATGAGAGATATCTTATAATTAAATATGTGTGATTAATGTGTTTAAAATTATTATTAGTTTAGAAAAATGTATCATATAATATTATATTATATTTTTTTGCAAAATCTTGTTGATATTGCATTCCTTATTCAATACCATAATAAAATTCCAATGTAAATCAAGACAAAAATATTTCATCAGATCATGCACTGCGTGCACTCGACTACATGATTAAATTTAGAATGAATCATTCTCAATTATAAAAGTAATCATAAAATGTTTCTCAAAAAGAAAAACTTAAAAAAAAAGTTATATAATTTTTAAATAAAAAAGAAGAAATACGTGAGATATCGAATGAATTTCATTACAATGTAGTAGGAAGAACATAATTTATTGATAAAATTATACATGATAAGATCTTTAAAATAATTGTTTGATAACACTCTTCTAAAAAAGGAATATTCAATTACATTTAGTATATAAATTAATTCTCGGTCTTTTTTTAGTGAGAATAAGACTTATTTACAGAAAATAAGATTATGTTTCAGTCTGGAAAATAATCTCTATAATATTGACATATTTCTTCAACCTTTCAGAGAGCTAATAGATCCCAAATTGATAAAAAAAATCACGGTTAATAAAATCTTTAATACAATCTTCGATTTTTTCGTATGTGTGAAATATTAGTCCGGATCTACAATGTTTAAGCCTTAAGTTGTAAGAAATTGACCAATTACAGTCGAATGCGAGGAGAATAATTGATTCGTTCATTTCTTATAGCTTAAGGTTTAAAAATCTAAATCTAGATCTAAACCTCCTTGTAAATCCGGACTTAGTCTGCAAGATGGTGAACAGAATAAATAAAAATCTGTCGGTGCTAAAGACCATGGCATAGAAAAACCTAAGACGTAAGACTTATCCCGCAAACAATAACAGAACATTATTAACGAAAATAGTAAGACTTAAGCTTTAAGGAATTGTAGACTAATTGTAGTCGATTATTTTTCTCACATTCGACTATGATTGATCATCTTCTTAAAGCTTAAAGCTTACGACTCTATGACGGGATTAGGGCTATAGCACACAAAAAAACTTAAACAATAAAACGTAAATAGCAAGCGAATTGAGCAATCATAGTAGAGTCCGTAAGGACATAACGTAAACAGTAGCCAACATGTTGATTTCCTTATTGTTTACGTCTTACTCCCTTAAGTTTTTTGCATGCCATAGTCAAACTGCGATTAATTTAAGAGAGCCGAGTGATTTGAAAAGTCAAAAAATTAATGATTTTTTGTGAAATTTTTCGAAAAAAATAGATATATCAATTTTAGATCTATATTTTATTTGCACTTTGTACTATATGTATGACCCAGACAGCACAAAATATTTATGTTAAATATTTATTAATATTCATTTTTTTTAATGTTACAAGATGTCCCACGTAACTGTGATCACGATTTTTCCGGCATTTCCGATCTGACAAACATTGAATAAAAGTTAATCAGTTTTCAATTCGGCTACAAATTGCAATATTAAAAATTTGCAAAATACTCGTTTTTAGGAAAAAAGTCAAAATTACCCTAATTTTTTTAAATGGCACTACATATTTTTTACTTCATATATTGTAACTAGTCAAGACAAGTTCAATGACCTTCTATACTATAACCTTAAGATGATCTTACAGTCAGACGTGAAGAACAAACGTAGCCATTTCGAAATTCGTGATATTCCCGAATGTAGTACACACACGTGTATGTACGTAGTATGTACGTAGAAAAAATATCAACATAACTTACTAGTACAGCGTAGCTCGAACACTTCAACAGTTCTTGTGTTCAGTCTTAGTTTGTTGTTAGAACAAATTTCAGTTTCAGTTTGTCGAAAATGTATACCTATCATGAAAAAATTGATATTGTTAATATTCAGTGAATATAGAAAAGGAATGCACGTGAAGCTGCAATTCTACCACAAGGTACACAGACATCACCCACGTGTGCAACAACGTTTTATAATATTGAAAAGAATTTAAGACATTATGCAGAATTCAAAAAGAATAAGAGAAACAAACTGCATTTACAATACAACTGCAGACAGTAGCACATTTAGAAGAAAATTCGCACACTTCCATTCGTGCAGTTGCTACTGAAATTGGTTTATCTAAGAGTTCTGTTTGTAAGATGGTAAAACAGAATCTTTATCATCATCCCCAAAATGACCAAAGTATAACATTTACGTATAACTGATTCACAACATCTAAATTTTATAGTATGGCTACTTGTCACATACGAAAGTAATCCTGAAATATTACAGAATATCCTATGAATAGATGTAAATTCTCAAATAATGGTGTAATTAACCGTCATAATCATTACTTTTGGTCAAAGGATAATCCCCATTGGTTTCGAGAACATAATTTTCAATAGAAAGTTACAGTGAATATTTGGTCTAATATACAGTCATCTGATTGGACCTTATTTTTATGAACAGAATTTGACAGCCCAAGCTTACTTAAATTTTCTTCGTTCTCAACTTCCAATTGTTGCAAGTGCTTCCGAATGATGTTGTGCAACGTATTTACTTCACACAAGATAATGGTCCTCTCATAATGTTCGGATTGTTGTTCAATATTTAAATTCAAAATACGGAGAACGTTGGTTGGGATCAACTTAGCCACCTCAGTCCTCCGATTTGTCACAATAGATTTTTTTGGGGTCATTTGCAATCAATAGTCTACGCGGTACCAATTCAAAATATGAAACATTTAAAGCAGCGAATCTATACAGCATGCGAAGAAATTCGCCGTGACAGCATTATAGGAACAACTAATGGAAATTTATTACAGAAAGCAGAATTGTGTCTACAAGAAAATGGACTACAATTCAAACACAATTACAATTGTAATTACATAATTTTTTCATTAAATTTGTTTTCATTAAATTTTTTGTTCTACTTTTTTTTATGTTTTTTTATGTATTTTTGTTTATAATTTGTTTATAATTATTGTTTCATTTAAAAAACAAGAATCCATGTCTGTGAAAAAGTAACAGATAAAAAATCCTTTTCTACTGTAGAGTAGTCCATATAAAAAATTTAATACAAATAAAATAATTTTTCACGAAAATCTTTTCGTTTCATTAATCCCAACAATAAGATCCTCTCAAGGTCATAGTATAGCAGATCATTGAACTCATCTTGACACCAATTATCATATGAAATAAAAAATATGTAGTACCATTTAAAAAAATTAGGATGACCTTGATTTTTTCCTAAAAAAGAATATTTTGCAAATTTTTAATATTAGGTGTACAATTTTGCTTCCGCCGTTTTTTTTCGAAATTCGAGGCTTTATTGTAAAAAACTGGTTATATATTTATGATTCAAAGTATTGTCCATCGCTGGCCACTTCTTTCTCCCACCTTTCGGGTAGCGTACGAATCCCGTGTCGAAAAAACTGGTCATCTTTTGAGGCTATCCACGAATCGATCCAATTTTTTACTTCTTCATAAGATCGGAAGTATTGGTCAGCCAGGCCATGTGCCATTGATCGAAACAAGTGATAGTCAGAGGGAGCAACGTCTGGAGAATACGGCGGGTGGGGTAGGACTTCCCATTTCAACGTTTCCAAGTATGTCTTGACCACTTTCGCAACATGGGGTCGAGCATTG